CTAAACTTTTATGATAGAGAAATCTTTAGCCCCTTTTTGTGGTATTTATTATGCGTCTAGTTTTTTTAACTGTTGCACTTTGGTTTATTTAACCATTTGTGTTCTGACAGACACGTGAATGACTTCTGTGTTTTTGATACAGTAACAACATTGCAGTTAACATTTTTATACTTGCATCTTTTCATGTACGTGCAAATATGTCTTGTCACTAACAACATAAAACTTCAGTTATACTAATAGAAGGCATTTTAACTTTGGCTTAATCCAGTCACTGAGACTTCTCCCTGACTATGAGATGTGCACAAGCCAGCAGGCAGTGGGTCACGATGGGTTGTGCTGAGGGACAGTGTGAGTTTGTTTCCATTAGGCCCATTGTTTGGCATTTTTTTTTTCAGCTTTTAAAAGCCAGGTTCAGCAAAAGTCGTGCTTCAACACTATAAACTGCTAAATACTAAAATTAAAATAGACATGAGACAGCTGAATAGTAATCTATAGCCATTTTAAGGTGTACAGAACCCAGTTGTATATAAGCTAAAATTGAAATGTCAATGTAGAAGTCACAGAATGTGGTTCAGAACTTGCATTTTTTTTTCCTCTTTTAACATATTGGTACCATATCAACTAATTCCATAATGTTGTAAATTGTTGCTGATGTTATGTTGGGGCTTTTAATTGATCGGGATGATACTCTGCCGGCTCTCCCTTCAGACCAGAGATGGTCTCCCCAAGAAACCGTTGAACTTATCTGGACAATAAGATGCTGGACTCTATACTTGGTAGATGCTTGCAATGAAAGAATCTCAACTGAACTTGAACTGTGGTAACGCAACAAGGTGGAGGAATCCACCATGGGGAGGGGGGGAGGGTTTGGGGAGGAGTGGGAGGAATCCCAGTACCTATAAAACTGTGTCACATAATGCAATGTAATCAATTAAGAAAAAAAAAAAAAAGTCTTTGCTCAGATGTTCCCCTGCCACCAGCACCTGTCCTGACGGCCCTGTAATACGTGACTCACCGAGCCCTTCCACCTTCACCCAGACACGTTTACAGGTTCCTTAAGCCCCATGGCTTCTACCTTTTTCATCAATTTGTACCACTCCTCACTTGGCAGCATCTTACAAATCAACTTAATATACTAATTGCCTGTCCCTACAGTGCCCTGAACCATGGGCTCCGATGGCAAGGAGTTTTAGCTATTTTGGAATTGCTCAAGTGTTTATGAATATGTCTGACACAGAGAAGATCCCCATAGAAAGTGTGCTCAATCATGCAAAACGAATAAACGATCTGACTATGTTTCTTTGGCAGAAGGCATATCTTTGTCCATTAACTTTATAAACTCCATAATTTATCTAGTGCTGTCACCCCACCTTGTTTTATAAAGAATACAATCTTGTTTTATAAAGAATATAATATATATTATAATATTATATATAATAATATCTTGTTTTATAAAGAATACAATCAGAATATAAAAGCTGCATATTCCGTTGTAAGTTGGAAGTGTATTAGTAAAACTCGCCCATTTTCTCTATAAAGTAAGCTAATGATTCCAATAGCTTCAACTTAAAACCTAAACACGAGCAATATCATGTACCTTGCAACAGAACGTACCTTGTAAGGAACAATAGGCCTCTCATTTCCTATTTTTTCCCCACCCTGAAAGGGCAGTGGCTAAAACAAAGCTTACTGTGTTTGACCTCCATCTAGCGACTAAACGCATTATTTACTGGATTGTGGGTTGGACTCAAGATCGCCATCCAGTGTTCAGAGTCCAGATAGCAAGATCTCATTCCTAAAATTTAGCTCCCATCACCGCAAAAAGCCAGAGATGTTCTTGTTGACTTTATCTTCACAACAAAACTTTAAACATGTGTTAGCTATACTTGTACAAGTCTTAATCGGTCCAGTAAGTCTTGAAGCTGCAATGTCTATGTGAAAGTGGGAAGTCCTTATCATTGGGCCCCCACTGCGGGTTTCCATCCATGTTCCACCTGTGAGTATACTGTTCCTCCACTCCACATAATCACTTTCCTTTGCAGATGGAGGTAGCAGGGTGATCAGCATCTAGAACACACATTCTGCACCACAGTTGCAATATCAGTCCAAGAACACTCTTGAATATGACTCATGCTTTCTCTCAGGCTCACCCCACACCCCCCATCTGCTTTCACCCCAGCTTGTTGACACTCCTTTCCCAGCCCCGAGAGTTCCTCTCCTGGCTTTTCCAAACTGTCCCCATTCTTCAAGGCTCATTTTGAAGCTCACTTCCTCAGCGAAGCCTTCCCAGGCTACTCCAGCGTGCCCACAGCGCCCCCTCCTGGACCCACCAGCTATGTGAGTCTGGCAAATTACCCACCCTGCTTCGCGTTGTTGTTGGAATGTTTCTGTGATTTTCCTTCACCTCAGTAGATTATAATGTCTATGGAGGAGCGACTACTTGATATCTCTGAAGAATATTAAATAAAAACTAAATATTTTTTGAACAGATAAATGAAGTGCTTTGGCACTTCATATAAATAAGGAAAGTAGCAGGAGTTTGTGTAAGCTGCTAGTCTGCTCTGTGCATTTGCATATTCCGGGATGCTTATTACTAGCAACTGTTAGGAATTGATGACTGTTAGAATACTGTTAGATTCGCAGCCTGATAAAGGTTTAGAAACACACAGTTGATGATACTAACGCAGCCAATCATACAGTGTATGAAATTCTTGGGCTCTCTTCTATTCCTCAACCACCTGTCATAGGGACCTTTGTAAGTTCATATGTAAATATCTACTCCTTCTTATTTAGTTGCAACATAGCTTTTCCTATTATCAATGCACTGTAACATTTCTAAATTTTTTGTTTGACAGAAAGGAGATGGAGAGATAAAAAGAAAGACACAGAGATCTCGCATCCGTTGGTACACTCCCCAGAGGCCTGCAATGGTCGGGACCTGGATTCGATCCATGCTGCTGTCTCCATGCAAGTGACAGACAGGATGCTGGAGTCAGAAGGACAGCCAGGTCTCAAATTCAGGGACTCTGATCTTGAAGATCAGCGTCTTAACCACTGTGCCAAGTGCTCAGGCCTGGTTTCTTTCTTAAAACACACAAAATCAAAACGTGTTTTCCCTATGTGTATATGTAGATACCTATATGCACTTGAGAAAATGCCTGAAAGTATATGTAATGAATTAAATATCACCATAAGAGGGAGAGGAAAAAAAATCTTTTTAAAATTTTCTGCAAGGAAATGTGTTTACATGTTACTTGATTTTAAAAATTGCAGGGTTTTTTTTATGTGCAGTCAAAATAATTTGTCTATAATTCTTCTTTTTAAACAACAGTTGCCAGGTTCTACACAAGCCAAAACTTAGAGGTTGATTTTGTCAATCACTTGGTGAGCGTTCAGAGGACGTGGGTCCACGTCCCGCTGTGTGGGTGGAGTCTCGTGTCGCTGACAGGTGTCGGAAGGGGTTCAGAAAAGCTAGGGCTGGAGGGACTCGGCAAGGGGAGAGGCCACCCGGAGGAGAGCCAAGAGGGAGGGATTCACATCTCTATGTCCTGGGAAGCAGCTGGAAGAGCTGGGGAGATGACTCTGCTCAGACAGAACGGGCCACAACCGAGAGGCCTTAGACGCAGCTTTGCCTCCTTAATGAGCTTGGAAAGACTGGTGGAAGAATCACGGAGGGGGGCTCTGAGCAGGTAAGAACCTCACCTGTCCTTCCTCATCCTCCCGGCAGCATTACCTTTGCCCTGGACCACGGGGAACAGAGTATCCTTCAGTTGATACATATTTTGCAATAGCTACCCAGCAGGTGTAAAGAAGCGCAGCATATTCAAATCAAACAGACTTCCCCACTAGTTTGTGGTTTGCCTCTACAAGACAGCAGTAATATGATTTGGGGCAACTTGAACGCTCATTCTGAACTGCGGTATTCCCTTACCTGTAAGTTCTGGGCTCCTTTGTGGATCTAGCTTTTCATCTGACATAGAGTAGGCATTCCAAGAAAGTTGGTTTATTCCTGCCAGCACATGAGAATGGTTTTGGTAAAATTTCTTCTTTGCTCTTCTACGAATAATGTAAAAGGTAGTCTTCTTTCTTTCTACTTGGACAAAGGCAAGCACATTTTTATTGGGAATTGCTTATTTTGTGTCTGTCACACTAAGAACAGTGTGTGCCATGCCTTGCTTTCATTCCTGCACAGCTCCCAGGAAACCATCCTTTGATCTAGTGGTATTTGAAGTTGGTCACTATTGCTTCATAGTCTGAGAACATAAGGCAATTTACTTAGCCAAGCTTTGTTGAATTTGGCCTCCAAGTGTGAGTACCAACACCTTAGATGAAAATCTGGATCCCTTTCTGGTTTTTCCATTCCAGGACTGTAAATAAGAGTAAGAAAGAAACAAATGCAGCACATAAGAACACACATCTGACCCTAATGAGAATAACATCTTGTGTTTGTAAAAAGTTGTCGGACATCTCAAATACCTTGTAAATGAAAAATAGCTCCCTAGATAATCTTTTCTTCACTCTGCCCCACCCCCTAGAACTGTTTTTTTTTTTAATAAGGATTTTTTAAAAAAAGATTCATTTATTTTTGTCAGAAGGTAGAATATACAGAGAGGAAGAGAGACGGAAAGGAAGAAGTTCCATCTGCTAATTCACTCCCAAGATAGCCACAACAGCTGAAGCTGAGCCCAGCTGAAGCCAGGAGTCCGGACCCTCCTCTGGGTCTCCCATGTGGGTACAGGATCCCAAGGCTTTGGGCCATCCTTGTCTGCTTTCCTACGTCATAAGCAGGGACTGGATGGGAGAAGAGCAGCGGGGACATACCTGAGTCCGTATGGAATGCTGGTGCTTACAGGCAGAGGATTAGCCAATTAAACCATTGTGCCCCCAACTATCTTACTAATTGGCTTCAGTGTTTAAATGTGTGTATTGCTGTGTTATCAACAAATACTAAATTTTGCTTGGAATAGACGGCTTTAATGGTGTCTCCCAACAAGGCAGAACTATGCGATCTCTGCGATGTAGAAGGGTGAGGAGTTTGAAAACTATATGAGAAAAATCAGAAACTGTGAGGTCAATTTCTGTTCTTTCTAATATTTCACAAATAACCATTGTATATTGCATGTTAGCTCTTTGCTAGCCACTTCCTAAATGTTGGCTTTAATTGTGTCATCAACCCTGAAATGGAGGTTTTTAAACAGTTTTCATAGGTGAAGAAACTAAGACTAGGAGGTCTTCAAGAGCTTGCTAAAACTACTATTGTCAGTATTTAAACCCAGGTCTCAAAGCCCTACAATTGCCTTTGTAGGCAAAGCAGCTCAATAAAAAAACTATCAACCAGATGGAAAGAATTTAAATAGAATAGCTAGTAACTGAGGCAGCTAGGCCCACTTGGGCTAGAGCCCTGGGCCCTTCACGTGTTAAAGATACATACATTGCAAGATACATACATCACATTAATGGGTTGTCTTCAGGAGGGACTAGAGGCCTACAAAAGTAAGTACAGAAGAGACCGATGGGAAGATCCTGAGACAGGAAAACAGCAGCCGCTGCTAACCAAGAGCCAGCTGGTATTATCTTGGGCATCAATTCTCAGAGCATCAACATCAGAGAGCCCCACCGTGTGACCATGATGGACTGCAAATTTACTGTCCTGGTTAAAAAAATAAATAAATAAAAGAAACGCTTCAGATAAAATAATTTCAGCAGAGTTTCATTGAGCAAAGAGTCGTTCCTGAATTGCTTAGACCTCAGAACAGATTCAGGGGGCTTTGGTGTGCAATGGCGCTGAACAGCATTTACAGATGGAAAGCAAAAACTAAGTACAGAAAATGAAAATAAGGTGCAAAAATGCTCGATTGGCTCTGGGGTTGTCTGATTTGGACATGGTTTGAAGCTGGATCCTGCAATGGGCAGGAGCAGCCGCTCTGATTGGGTCAGACTCAGTTCAGCTTTAGGGTGGTGTAAGTTCTAAGGTTGCGATTTGTCCCGTGATGATTCATGGACAGAGGCATCCTCAGAACAAATTTAGTTTCATCTAATTATCCCGACTTCAAAACCGACCAGGCATACTCTAACTCACTGCTCTAATCGACTGCCACCTCTCCGCTAATTACAGCTTTAGCTTTGCCTCGTTTCTCTTGCCTTTAGATTCTGTTCATTACGGTACTGAGTGGTAGAATCCACTCTCTCGCCCTCCCTGCATTCCACTCTGAGCAAAGCCTGGCTTGCTTAAACATCTCCCAACGCCCCCTTACACAAGGGGTGACCCTCTAAGACTCTCCTAAATCCCTCTTTCTGAGATCAGCTAAAGTGTTTCATCACATTTGCTCTCTGTCCATGCAAAAGACAGTGACATCCGTCCGAGTAACTGAGTGGGTTAGTTGGAGTACACAAACACTAAAGTCCACGATGTGGCTTAGGAAACCTGTTTCAAACAAAACAGAAATGTATGTCTCCAGCTTGGCTCTCACTTCCTATGTCCAGACTCCAGGATGGCATATGATTTATTCAAGATTCCCGCTTAGTTGATAAAGACAACACTTCTCCAATGTTAATGCGCAGTCATCTGGGGAACTTTTTATTTTTTTAGTGTTTGAAATATTTTAAAAGATTTATTTCTATTTATCTAAATGTCAGTTACAGAGAAAGAAAGTGGGGGAGAGAATGGAGATTCTCTTTGCTGGTTCAATCCCAAAATTGCTGTAACAGGCTGAAGCCAGGAACCCGGAACTCCATCCTGGTCTCCTGTGTGGGTTCAGGAATCCAAACACTTGGGCTATTTTCTGCTGACTTGCTAAGGGCCTCAGCAGGAAGCTGGATTGGACGTAGAGCAGCTGGCTCTGCAACCGGTGCCCACATGGGCTGCTGGCATGTCAGATGATGGCTTAACCCTCTGTGCCATGATGCCAACCCTCTGGGTTTCTTTGAAAATGCTAATTTGGATTCTGGTAGCTCTGGGTGGGGTCTGAAATTTTGCATTTCTGCACTGGCTGTCAAGGGATGCCAAGGGTGCAGGTCCATGTACCACACTTGGAGCAGCCAGAGTCTAACAGGGCAAACTCAAGGTGCCTAAACAGTCCTGAGTCTTAAGAGATCCAATTTTAGCTGCTACACATAAAGAGTTTGACATTATCATGCCCATTCTTACAAGAAAAACTGGATAAACTGTCAGTCAGTTGGGCCCATCAGAGAATGGGGTTTGTAGGACAAAGTATCATCTTTAAATCTAAATTAATAATCATCTCTACAAACCTACGAGACGTAGGCATATCCATCATAGAAGCCACTGGAGCCTATATTGGTAAGACCATGTAACTAGTGACTTTTAATAAATTGTAAGAGATTGTGGGTGGACTAGCATGACAGTGGTTAACTCCTGAGGCCACAGCCTTGGGAGGTGGAGCCCACACTTGCACAGTCTTTAAGAACCCCACTTAGAAAACCCACATTCCTCAGGGGGAAAAAGTGCGCAGTTAATCCTGTTGTGTCCTTCCCATCACATCCCACGGCAGGCACACAGAATCAGTGCATGCCTCTCCTGGGGATGTGTTGAGCTTGGATCCTTTGAAAGAGCAGTCTCTGAGACAAGGCTGTGGCCACAAGCAGTTTATGGGGGACAGGACCACAGAAAGACAGCGAGGGAGTAGGGGCGTGAGTGAGGAAAGGGGTGAACCCCCCGAGCTGTAGGAGTATGTGGGTCCCACCCTGCCCCTGGGATAAAGCTTCCATGGGGTTAATTTTTCAGGCTCCTCATTTCTAGGATCACCTTTTTTCAAAAAAGCCTTGTGCATTTGTGAAAGAGACAGAGACAAAGTAAGACAGACACAGAGCTCCTGTGTGTTGGTTTACTCCCTTTGATGTCCACAATTGTTTGAACTGGGCTGAGGCCAGAGCCAAGGCCAGGAAACCCAGTGTAGTTCACCTACAGAGCTGGCAGGAGTTCAAGTACTTGAACCATTCCCAGTGCCTCCCAGGGTCTAGGAGCTGTTCTCAGCAGCTGGGCAGTGAGCCCAGGTATTTGGATAAGGGGAAAAGGGGTACAAGCATCTGAACAGGAGGTTGAATCCATGGGCTGTTACCCCTATGGTCCATTTTTCTAGGCTCTTTAAGAAGAGCTTCATGTGGACACTCAATACTGCTCGTTCAACAAGGGTTAATGTCTTCGGTCTACAAAGAAGACCTAAGCAACCTGTGCAAACAAGCCCAAATACGTTCAACTGCCATGGACGCTTCTGTTTTATCCATACAAGGTATGGTACTGGAAAATAGAGATCCAGAATCCTGCTGAAGACAAGTAGAACAGGGCGCTCAGGAGTTAGATGTAATGTTCTTAAGAATGTCAGGATCCCCAGTTTGTCTGGAGAAACAAAGTGGTTCCTTCCAACATGGTTAGAGTCACTGATGGGACCATGTTGTAGCAAAGTGTGTTAAACTACAGTATGTGATGCCAACATCCTGTAAGGGCACAGGTTTGAGTCCCAGCTGCTCCACTTGCAATCCGGGTCTTTGCTAATGCAGCTGGGAAAGCAGTGGAAGATGACCTAAATGACTGGATGAAGCGCCCAGTTCCTGGTTTGTGGCTATTTGTGGAGTGAACTAGTGGATGAAGATCTCTCGGGCTCTGTAACTGCCTTTCAAATAAATAAATTAATTTTAAAAATGGAAGTGCCAAACTTCACCGTCATTAGGGCCTAGATAATAGATTACAAACTACCACAACGAGGGTTCTCACAGGTACGCAAACATTTTAGGACAGACAAAGGGACATATAGGACCAGATCTGAGTTACACAAGGATGCTTTCAAATTGTGGAGAAAGTGCAGGAGGTCCCAAGATCTTGTATTCTTGCCAGTTTCTGGGCTGTTGGGCTTGAGGCTATCCAGATGCTAGAGTGTCTCAAGACACTTCGCAAAGTGATAGCTAAACATCCAAGCACTGATGGAATGAGGCTGGCCCCCACCTTGGTGAACATGAATCATCGCCTGGAATGTAAATTGTTATCATCTGTATCCTTTTTTTTACCACCAGTATTTTCAAACCTAATTAATGTGCTGCTTATTTCTGAAGAAACAGAGAATGGGGGGTGGGGGGGAGGCGGTATAAACCTACGTGTGTGAGCAAAAGGAAACAGTGCTACTGTTTGATGAAGGTTTCTGGGGCAAAATAAGGTGGATTGTCTGCAGCTCATAGTCTAGCGCCAGTAACCAGCGGGTTCAGAAAGTCAGGGGTGACCCCTGCTAAGCCCAGGGTTCACCTATGTCAGGTCAAGTTTCAGCTGTTTCAAGCAGGCCTGGTACCAGTGTCCAGCAAGAATTTGCCAGGCAACATTAAGCTACTGTGTCTTCTCTGTTTTTGATATTTATTTGCTTTGATTTGTAAAGCAGAAAGACACATAGTGGAAAGACTAATAGATTGACACTTACATATATACACATTATCTGCTGGTTCTGTAAATGCTTGTAACAGCCAGGGCCAGGCCAAGCCAAAGCCAAGAGTTAGTAACTCAAACCAGATTTCTATATATTTGGTAGAGATTGAAAAGCTCAAGCCATCACCAACTGCCTTCCAGAGGGCAGCTTGAGCGGGAAGCTGGAGTCAGAAGAGGAGCTGGGTCTTGCATCTGATATAGATTGGGAGTGTCCCAATCACCCTGCCAAATACCCATCCCCATCTACCCTACTCTCAAGCTCCAAGGGTCCACCTGCCCCTGTCAGGCATAGGCAGAGAGGACATGAGCGACACCAGCATCCTTAGCTGCTCCAGACAGCACAGAGAGGAAAGCAGTGGCGCGTGATCATGGCAGAACACACCCGCAGACTCTCTCCCAAGAAGCCTGTTCAAAGCTTGTAAAGATGGTGCAAGAGCTCAGGGCTCTTGATAAGGTCTGCCCTTGGCACGTGTGTCTTGAGTCACTGCACTCACCTGGCCTGCTGGCTGCAAGTCCATGCCCGAGTGTTTCCCTTTCTGGGGTATTCCCTCCCCTCTCTCCAGTGTTTGATTTCCTGCTTTCTGAACCCCATTTCTTTCTCCTTCTGGAGGAATA